ATGGTATTAAAGGAGATTTTGAATGGGTTTTCTCAGACTAAAGAAACATGCTGCAAAGTCAGCAATGAAAACAAAACACACAAATATTCTGCCTAAAAATGAGTTTGAAAATGGGGAATACTATTGCACATCTTTAAAATGTAAAATTGTGTATGATGGTATTGTGGCATATTAGACACGTCTAGAAATAAATGCAGAACAGCAATATATGCAAATTCAAAGCACTGTTTTCACGGCTCTTATGCAACTCCTTCTAACTAGCTTTACAACTAAAATATTAACATTTTATATTAAGCCTTCACTTAGCAGCCTTCCGTGATGTGTCTTTCAGTCCTTGGAATTTTGCATTAGCTACTACTGTTTTCATTGTAACGTATGTATTTGCGGCATTGTTAACCTGCTGAGAAACACTTTCAATAAACACTTAGGTCACTTATGTTATTTCCCACCACACAAAGGTTTGCTTTCCCAATTTTTGTAATATAGTTCTTCATTTACTCAAGAGTCACTTGAATACAGTCATTTAAGCTGTGGAGGAATCTGCAATTGATCACTAAGAAAACTGAGGCTCCTGTTAATTGAGGTAATTATATGGGAGCGTGTTAGACCCCTGTATTAATTTTTTTAGGGAATATGAAACAAAAGGGATGAGAAAACCACACTATGAACTACACTGATTTCTTGTAGCCTTGTGGAGATCTTCCCTCTGCTCCAAATCCTTGCAATTTTGCATTAAGCCCACTGTCATTTGAAATAGGACACACATGAATGTAACTAAACCGCTGGAAAGAAAGGATTAGAGAGCATCATAGGTTTCTGTGGTGTCATTTTAGCCTCACTAGGTTCAAGCTGTTCTTTAGTATGAAAATGTGCATCTGAAGTGCACTGAAGGCAATGGGATCGAACAGCTGATGTTTTCTCTGCAAAAGATCACCATCTAAAGAACAGAAAGAAAACGTGTTCACTAGCTGCTTTTATTGGTTGCTCTATACAAGACATAGACAAAGGTGGTGAACTGGGAATGGATTCTGAAAAGCTGAGAAAAAGTTGGAGGGCACAACTCCGACTGAAGGATATCATTACAAGTAAGGAGAGAAAAAGGAAAAAGGAAAACTCTTTGTAAAATTTGCAGAAAGGCAGGGAACCACATTCTTTGAAGACAGGGGCAAGCCAGAGCACCAGTTTACATAGCATGAAAGATATTTGATGACACAAACTAGTAACAATTAAACCGCAGCAACAAGGAGGTAGCCTTTGCAATGAAAATAAGCATTTCATCACCGTTGAGCAGCTAACTTGCTTTTACGTGGATGCTGCCCTGATCTGCACACAGTCCTCAAGTTTATCATAAACACCATAGTCGAGGCAACGGGCTGCTTCTGCACGTAGGCTGAAGGTTGAGCGTAGCTTTTAGGTTGGCCGGTCACCCTTGCACTCGGTAGTGCAGAGATGGGTAAACACCACAGTGACTGAAAAATCCTCCAAGGACAGGTAAGTCACTGACAATATATTTGGGAAGGGAGGAACAGGTGGTGGGGTGAGTTAAAAGGAGGTCAGCTTATCACAGTACTGAGACTAGTGAAAAATTTGGCAAAGACCTAGGGCCAAGTGCACAGCAAACCCCGAAGTCAGAGAGGCCAGAAACATTGCCAGAGAGTCAGGTGATGAGAAGGAAAGGTAAAACAGGCATTCGACTTTACTTATGTTATTTAAATTGCCAGTAAGGCACCTGGAGCCAGCAAATCAAATCATATTAAAACTTAAAATAAAAATTAGTGGTCTTTTAATATAAATAATTCTGGAAACAAGCTAATGAAACCTCATAGGTCCACCAGAATCATTGTGAATTAATTCAGGCAAGGACTTATTTTTAAGTCTGCCGGTTGCCAACGTTATTCAGATTAATTTATTCTGTTTCCAAAGACTAAAGAACAGTTCTTTATATTAAGGTATTCCCTTATTACTGGTATACAAGGTTTCTCTGTAGCTTGTTACTATATATAAATTTGATCTCTGCAGGTATCTGACAAAACAAGGTATTTACAAAAGCAGTAGCCAGAGACGCAATATGGGTTTTCAAAGCCCATTTTAATGAAGGTGGCTCCAAGAATTACTGCTCTTGAAAGCATTCAACAGGAAAAGCTCCAATCACTTCACACAAAGATTAAAAGTTTGTCCTTGGGTAGCGTACTGCATCCATTTCTAACACAATTCTGTATCCACCCAAAAAGTCCTGCAATGCCCAACTCTATCCATAAGTTAGACAATTACAAGATATACTAAAAATCCCAAAGCCTTTATTTGTAAGTTTAACATGTTACAGTATTTACTGTTCAGAATAATGTACACAATGAGGCTGTGATAACTGACTTAATTTTGTTGCCAGAGTTTTAATTCAGTTTTATCTGAAGGCCTCTTAAATCTCTCTTCTGGAAAGATTTATCCTAGTCTTTGAAGGGAGTAGTAAGAACTTGGACAGAAACAAGACTAAAAGATTTCTAACTTCACGTTCGGTGAAGGTCCAAAGCGGCAATGCTGCAGGAGTACATACACAGCAAACAACAGAACTAACGTAGATCATTAGATACTGCTTAGAACTAACTTTATTATAGTCTCTTGCTTGTAGCAGTGGCTAGCATAGCTGTATGTACCAGATAATCCCCGACTTTCAGAAAGGTTAGCATGTCAAATACACCATGAAATCTGGGAAAACTTCCTTCTATAAGGCCCAGCAGAATGTACCATTAACACCAGTTGTATACAAGATGACCCTAAAAATGAAGCCTACTTGATTTTAGACTTACATTTTAAAATTTCTCTGATCTGCAAGAGCATCAGTTAAAATTGCTACATGGAGAATTCAGTTCTGGATTTAAGTAGTCACTTGATTCAGGGAGGAACAAGAGGCCTAAACTCAGCTATAGAAAACATTTAGCAGTCAGATCGGATACTAAAATTAGGTAAAACCAGACTCAATTAGCAGTTACAATACAGAACGTACCCTCACCCCCACCCCAAACTACTGCAACACCAGAGACAAGCCACCTCCTCACTCTTCTATTTCTTGCTCATTTATTTCACTTTTCCACTTGGCAAAACACCTCAGCATAAGCGTGACACAGTGCAAGGCTCTCCAGAAACAAGTCACTGTATGTAGTTTATTATTCCAGATTGCTTAAGAGTTCACATGACACATTTCAAAAGATTTTAGAATATGCATCTAACAGCAGCTGCCACTCTCTTACACTTCATAGGGAATTATTTAAAGCTGGATTTACACCTACGTGCCACATTTTGGCAAAATAAGGCAAGGAATGCACCTAACAGTGAACTACCAGCGTGCTAGAAGCCGAAAAAACTAACTCTGACAGAGTGTTACCAGTGTTCTACTAAGTCTTCTGGTCAAAGTATGAAGATTATCTGTAAGGAAAAATGTTCCCATTGGCACAACCAGTGTAGGACTAAAAGAAAAGAAAAAACCTAAACTAGCAGCAGGTTGGCTTGTCTTTTAAAGGCCAGAAACAGGCTGGCCATTCCTGCATGTGACAGGATACCTGTAGATAACCCAGTACACCATCGTTGAATACAGAGACTTCTGTACTTCTATTCTAGAGGATGGGTTTGTGACTGCAGAAGGGGCTAAAAAATAGGGGGGGGGGAAATCTTAAGAATAGGAACAACAATACGAGAGAGAGAATAGAAAGGGAGAAAACAGAAGACCTTAAACTTTATTATCCCTGAACAAGAAACACCATACTAAGAACTTGTATTGAACTTACGTGATTTTCATAACTCCAAATTTACTCACTTTTCTCCCATTCAGAAGAAATATCTTACTGCATTTTGCCAGAGAGCATCGAATTTAGGACTGACTGAAGATTAGTGATATGGAAAAGTACTTGCTGGGACTGACGTGCTTTAGTTTGAGACTTGAATCTGAGATGGTCTCTGACCCTATCTAGGTAACACAGAGGCAGTGTCTTGGCTAAGAGGTTTATCTCCAGACTGCTTCCTGACAAGAAAGAAGCAGGATTCCTGATAGATTACTTGAATCAGTGCTTTATCTTATTTACCTCTCAGAACTGCACAATTCCTTCTGTTCTTCTGGAACTTGACTATCTCCATGAAAACTTAATGCACTGACAAGGTTAAGAAAAATAATGAGTCTTTTTGCAAAAGCAAAGGAGAACATACATGCATGTATTTAGGGGTTGTATTTTTCTCCTATAAAATACTGCACTTTGTCCTATCCATTCTGACAAGACATATCACCATCCTAAAAAAAGTCAGCTCACCAGAGGCAAGATTCAGTGATGAAAGGGTAGAATTAAGTCTCACTTCCAAATTCTATCACTGGTCTTAACACACTATGCAACTCCAGCCAAATTAGTTTCTTTGTTCCTTGAAATTAGGAAAAAATAACTGCCACTTCACAAAGAACTTCAGAACTAGTTTCTGCAAAGTGTTTTTGAGTTCCTCACATGATGAACATATTCATATTGCATGGAACAGAAACAGAGATATGACCTGATTATTTTTCCTTTAAGTAAAAACAAATATGAAAATGAAATTGTTAGATGAAAATTGTGTTTAATTACAGTGGTAGGTACCAAGCCACTCCTGAAAGCAAGTGCATCAGTGCTACTGAGCAACATACCAAATCTATGCAGAGATTATTTATTCTGTTTTGATTCCAATGTAATTTGTTCCAACATATCCTTTGCTTAATCCAAACCTACTTATCCAAAACACAACACAAGCTATACTTAGTTTTGTATTATTACTTAAAAGTAAAAATCTCGTTCTTAAACATTTTGGCTTTAAGAAAAGACAGCTTGTGAATCCACTGACAATCTCAAATTATGATCTTCTTCAGTTTCCAAAGTCCTATCACCACTTATCTCAAACTCTTCCACAGATCAAGCCAAATCTATGTTTAAAGTTCAAAATACAAAAGATATGAATTATGTTTTTATAAAAATGTAAAAAGCTAGTCAAAATTACATGTTTAGATATTTAATCTCTGAAGAACGGAGTATAGCAGCAGGAACTTAAATATATAAGAACTATCAACAATAAATACAAGAAATTAGTGCAAAGATTGCAATAGAAGGATTCTTGAGTACAATGAGAATATAAAGAGACATTCTAATTTGTACAAAACCCATCCCAACTCTGTATACAATCTCTTCTATAAATACAACCATATAAGATGAAATGCTTATTTGCAAATAATAGTTATTAAAAAGTGTGCTTTATTGGGTTTTCCACTCGTTCTCTTGGCAGGTGTAGTTTGCAGGAAGTCTGTAAAGACAAATTTCCACAGTTAGATATTTTAACTCCTCCAGAAGTTATGTTTTAAATACAACAAACAACATAGGCAGTATATACTTGATTTCCACAGAAAGCATTATTAGAACACTAAGCATTGTAACAAATCCATTTGCAGCTAGCAATCTGTACGTGTGTGACAATGAGGTAAATTGTAATTAAATAAAACAAATTTCACCACAAATATTAAAATAGCAGTTTACCTATAACGGAGCATGAAATTGGCTGTGCATTGCTATTGCCTGTTGAAGTTTTTCCTCTTTGGCTCGTCTACAGTGGCAGAGCTACAAAACAAGACATGGGAAGAGTGAATTCTGAAAGGAACTTTTTATAATGCATACTACAGTTTCTCTTCAATGATGTAGCTACTTTGCAGGCTCTTTAAAAAAGCAAAGCCCTGTGAGCCACCTCCTCTCCAACCGTCAGGCTGAACAACTGTCTATATTGATAACGTTATTCCATCCATAATTGCTTACAAGAGAAGAGAATTGTTTGCTATGTTATGAAATGCATTTATTAGGCATCTCTAAAGAAAAGTACACTACCTAGTAAGTTGCTCTTATCACAGCATAAGCAAAAATGGTAGTTTTTGAACCTCAGTTACTTATTTGTGATAGTCATCAACAAAATATTTAAAGAAGTTCAATAAATTAAATATCAAGGTTGCTTAATATAACATGTCATTCTATGTCAACTTACCAAATTTAGAATTGTCCATGTGGCTATCTTCCTTATAGCTATACAGGATATAGAAGAAAGTGGTACAAAAATATCTGCAACAACATATGACTATGGTCTAATGCAGGAGACCTTTGCATTCCCACCTTAAAAATCTGTGCCTTCAGAACACAGATTATATTCTAAATAGACTGAAGCCACTTAGGGACGTATTTTTCTTCTGTTGGAGCTTACTAAAGCGCTGTATGTATCACAGGACTACTCAAACTCTAAGTCTTAAATTTATTCGCTATGTGTTGTATATCTCTCAGATTAGAATGACTTGTATATTACATACCGTTCTCTTTTCCATGAAACTACTAAGAAAGTCATCTATTTCTGTTTTGCCTTCTAAGAAGTCTTCTGCAATAGTGTCAGATTCCTCTTCAGCTTCATGAGCAGCTACTTTAAGCCTGGCTTGCAGAGCACTTGGACTGCAACTCTAAGAAAATAAAAACTCCTATGTAATATTAAACTGTCCATCAAAACCTACACTTCCAAGAAGAAAGATAAATGACTATATAAGTACAGAATATGTGAATACAGCACTATTATTATATAAAGCCTAAGTGACTAGATGAAGCTTCATCTCCAAGAAACAGCATAGCTCGTTAACCTAGAAAGGTTTCAATGTGAGAAAAGCGTTGCTAGTTTAGGTCTTGATCCACAATCATTCTCATAAATGTCTAAAGCTTTTCAACTTTTACTTTACACTGTAGAAACATCCAACTTGGAAATCTGGCAGGTTCTTCAGTGCATGATTCCTGAGTAGAACTAGCGTTTCAAGTATCTTCAATAAATAGGGTCTACTTTCGAAACTCAGTAGTGAACCTGAGAATTATAAAAAGGTAAAAAAGCACTTACTGTTCAGCTTTTAAATACCTTTGAAACGACTCTGGAGAGGAAGACAGGAAAGCAAAAAGGACCTACTCAAGAAATAGATGGGCTGCTAATCTAAACCAGTATATGCATTCTTCTGTTCTTATAAACCTCAAACCTTATTTTCTGTTTATTGCATATAATGTCACTATTTTTCCTCTAGTATGTTTGGGCAGTTAATCAGAACGTGAGTCACATCTTCAGTAGGAATCTGTACAGAGCCAGAACTGCAAAATTAAGGTATTTATAGATTTTTGGATGTTTGCACTACCCTTCATCTATCCCATGAAAAATATTTTACTTACGTACTGTAGAACTGTAATGTAATCAGAAATTTCCTGTTAAATTAAGGTGGTGCAAAATGAGGAGAGTTTGCTCTAATAAAAGATGACTAAAATTCACCCACACTGTAAGTAAAAAGACTTGTCGGGAACTTTGAAGGACAGGTAACAGGAGATGCCAAGTAGTGCACAGTGAACATCAATACACGATGATACAGTATATGTGGAAAACTAGCACAAAAATCCAGCTGCAACGTGCCAACTCTCAGCCTCCTAACCATCATTAAATTGAATCAGCAAATCTAACTCAGATAAAAGAAAAGGCAATACAGCAGTGGGGTATTATGTCCTGTTCTTAAGTGGTTTCTTACAGAAATAGAAAGTTTTGCAACGCCAGCTACCTCCGCTCACTTTAAAGTCAACTTGTATCACATAGAAAGAAGGCATTAGGAGTCAGACTATTCTGATTTTCAAGCGAGAAAACATTGAATTCATTTAGATCATCTATTAAATCATTCAGTTTGCTGTCACATAACATTTTGCTTTTTATTTTGTATTTTATTACTTTTTGGGCATTTTTAAATTCAGGTACTATGCATGCTATTTTGATGGACTGTTGTATTCTCAGGTGACAAGTCTTGCAAATAATAAAGATTTCAGTGCAGAAATTGGTTTATCAGAAGTTATGTCTTCTACTGCATATCCTGGTAAACATACTAAGAAATTATATTCCTTCCCCAAATTGCTTTTCGAAGTAATGACTTTACCCTATTTGTGCTTTAGAATGTGCAAACTTTGACAGCACGTATAACATGTTGCCCAAAGTAGGCATACCCAGTGAATCACAGGATGTAAGTTTCTAAAGCAATGGTTTTAATCATTTTCATCTGGTACAGTTTTACAAGCTCATTATGTTAAATGAGTACTATTAATTAAACAAGCCTTCTTTAAAAATCAGTGTATTCTTAAAACTGGTTTAACTCAGTATTGTACTTAAGAACGGCTCAAAATGCCGACTGCACTCCCTTCTTCCAACTTTGTCCCTATTGTACCGTTAAAAATACCAAACAACTTCAACCTAAAAAATTAGTAGTGCAATTGTAACACTGTTTTGCTTTCAAACTGGTATTTCATCCCCTTTTATTTCATACTTGATGTGAATCTATTTCATATAAAATCAGAGTTTAACAGGAATAATATTCTTTATGGATAAAAGATGCAAATCAAAACTTCAGTTTTATTGAAGTATTCTTAAAGGATAACATGATATAGAGATAATACCTCACTAAGTTCATGCTGTCTTTGCATCTTTTTTTCAAAGGCTGCTTTCATCTGTGTGAGTTGCTCATACTGGAAGGAAGAAGAAGAATGTTTTTCCCCTGAAAAAAATAGACTATTACAACTAACATCTCTGAAAAAGATTCTATTGTTCACTTACTTTATCCAACACCATTTGTCTTTTTGCCTCAAGACTAGGCTCCAGCAACAAGTTTTTTTCTGTAAAATAAAGTCACTATTACTACTTTTTTTAAAGGATTCAGTTTGCAGAACACAGCCACGGATGCTAATGTTTTGACATCTTACTTGCCAGCTCTTCAATGCTTTTCACTAACTCATCTCTATCAGTAATGACTTGCTTCAGTTGTGGTAGAGTCACAAACCTTTCCAGTAACACTTCCTCTTGCTCGTTCATATTGGTCAGCTGGGATATACTATATTCAAACACAAAAAAAACAGATTTAAAGCTAACAGCAAACATTCACAGAATCGATTTGGTTGGAAGAGACCTCTGAGATCATCAAGTCCAACCTTTGCCCTAACGCCACCATGTCAGCTAGACCATGGCACTAAGTGCCACATCCAGTCTTTTCTTAAACACCTCCAGGAATGGGGACTCCACCACCTCCCTGGGCAGCCCATTCCAACGCCTAACAACCCCTTCTGTGAAGAAATGCCTCCTCATTTCTAGTCTGAACTTCCCCTGGCACAGTTTCAGACTATGCCCTCTTGTCCTGTTACATGCAGAGTAACTCATTTCTGCAAAAAGTCTAAAGTTTGAGGGATTTATTGGGACTTTACAGGTACACGACACTTGACAACAATTTCTTTTTCCCCATTCTCCTGGACTGTGGGCTTTACTATCTGCAGCAGTGAGCTTTAAAAGCAGCATGTTAAAAAGCATCTCTCATTTCAAGCCTTACTTCCTATAAAGTGTTTTTTCAATGCCACTATAGTGGGTTGATCTTGGCCAGCTGCTCTCTCAGTCCCTCTCCTCAACAGGACATAGGAGAAACGCTTGTGGGTCGAGATAAAGACAGGGAGATCACTTACTAATTACGATCACAGGCAAAACACACTCAACTTGCGAAAAATTAATTTAATTTATTGCCAATTACAATAGGAGTTGGATGGTGAGAAAGACAGACAAAACCTAAACCACCTCACCCCCATTTTCCCCAGGCTCAACTTCACTCCTTCATTCCTAACTCCTCTACCTCCCCCTGCCCCAAGCAGCACGGGGAGCTGGGGACGAATTGCAGGTGTTGCAGTCAGTCCATAACAGTTCGTCTCCACTGCTCCTTCCTCCTCACACTTTTCCCCTGCTCCAGCATGGGTCCCCCTCCACGGGCTGCAGTTCCTGGCAGGAGAGCCTGCTCTAGTGTGGTCTCTCCATGGCTGCAGTTTCCTTCAGGGCATATCTGCCTGCTCCAATGTGGGGTCCTCCATGGACTGCAGTGTGGATCTCTCTTCCAGCACAGTCCTCTCCATGGGCTACAGGGAAATATCTGTTCTACTGTGGTCTTTTCCAAAACTTCCATGGGCTGCAGATCAATATCTGCTCTGGCACTAGGAGCACCTCCTCCGCTCTTCTTCTCTGACCTTGGTGTTCACAGGATTCTCACACTTTTCCTCCCCTCCCCTCAATCCTCACTGCCTCTGCAGCATTTGCTCTCTTTAAACTGTGTTTTCATAGAGGCATCACTGGCTTCCCTGACTGAGTCAGCAGTCCTGCAGTGGGTCTGCTGCCAAGCCAGCTGGCATGCTCCTGGCATGGGCGCAGCCTCTGGTCCCTTTTCACAAAGGCCACCGTGTAGCCCCCTCAGCTACCAAAAAACTTGCCACCTACACACAACAGAGCTACTCAGAACAGCTGCAATATCATTTGTGATTTAACTCAACTACCACCAGAAGAATCATGGAATTTTAATCCAGTCTTCTTGGAAGGACCAAACTTAGAATCATAGAATCATAGAATCATTATGGTTGGAAGAGACCTCAAAGATCATCAAGTCCAACCGTACACCTGATGCCACCCTGTCCACTAAACCATGTCTTGAAGTGCCACATCTAGACGTTTTTTGAACATCTCCAGGGACGATGACTCCACCACCTCCCTAGGGAGCCTGTTCCAATGCCTAACGACTCTAACAGTGAAGAACATTCATTCCAATGTTTTGTTTAAACAAACAAATTACACTTTGCCCCAAACCTCCTAACTTTTTGCTACATAATAAGGATGCTGCTAGAACTTACAGCTGATTTAGCTAAATTAAACAGGCTCTTATGAAGGTGTCATGGGAAACAAAAAAAAAAAACCCAGAAGTCCTTCCTGCCAAATGCCTTCTCCTGTTTGAAAGGACAGAGTTTTCAATCACTAAGCTATGACACCACCATAAAGATGTGAAATCAGAAAGAAATCAATGTCCTAAATCCCTTTCAGAATTGATAGCTAATTTGTAATCTATCCAATCCCAGATAAATGATCTAGGAGGCTGTCTCACTACATCTGAGCAAATTGCTGGGAACAATAACTAATACAATTTTTTCTGAATTGTGACAAGATATGCTTTTTGATGAAAGTACTTGTGTAATATGTCTATGAACTATTTAGATGTGGAACTGATCTGCACTGGGACAGCTGGCACATTTACCACCTGGATTTATATAAGTAGTCCACTGTTTACCCTGCGCTACAGTCCTTTCAAATTTAAGAGAATGTAATTTGTGAACCAACCTCAAGTGCATTTCCCTGTCCCCTTTCCTTCTTCAAAAGTTACACTTATTAGTAGCATAAAGTCCCTGGCAAGGCCCCAGAAGACAGCAGAACACTGATAGGAAAAGTAAAAATAAATGCTCTTTTTCCTGGCATTGAATACTGAAGTATCGTTCATGCTGAGAAAACCCTAAACAAGGAGCACTTCTGAATACAAGGCTGGCTTACTTTCTGACTACAATTTTGGTAAGGGGTAGCTCTTCTATTTATAATTTCTACAAAAACCTTTCAGTGATGTATACTGACTTCTGACAAAAATCAGATACAGATCAGCAGTAATTGCCTTTTAATGACTATGGAAAGTTTTGCTACCTTCTGGAAATTTACCTTAGCTCTGAGAGTTCTGGAAATGTATCAGGAACATCGGGCATCTTGTAAGTAAATCCATTCTGGCCAACCTAAACGGAAGTTTAGAAATGCTTAGATTTTTGAAGAGCAATTTCTTGATATTTAACCCAATTAATCCAAAACTGGAGATGAATATTTGCCAGCAACAAGAAAAGTAGGAAAAGCAGTAAGAAGCAGTAGCATTAGTCTCTGAACAGATAACGTCTCAACCATGGCAACAAAATACTTGGGGATATTTCGGGTGGTATGTCATAAAAGATGAGTCACTTTTGCAGGAAAGTAATTCTGTCTTGCTATGCTCTCCATTTGACAACAGTTGCTTGACCCACGAAACACATGGGAGGAGTATAACTCAGAGAACAGAGAGAGAGATTGATATTTTGATCTCTTTCATGTGTTTTTTAAAGCTATAATCCCTCTGGAAAAAAGTTTTTAGACAAGGAAACAAAAGTCTGTCTTCATAGAACATAGAAATTTTAAATTCTACAAAGCCAGAAAAGTGTCTTCCAAGATTATGAAAGCTTTTTTTTATAAAGACAAGAGTTGATGAAAGACTAAACATTTAGATAATAAAGTTTTTGGAGGACATTCAAAAAAATCCTTCCAGAGTGCATCAGTGAGAGGGAGTTTGTGAGTATACACATACAAAATCCATGAAGAGAAACTATTTTAAGCATGACAACAAGAAATAAATACTTTACACATAAAGGCTTGAGACGGCACATCATTCTCACCTGATAGGTTCTAGGCAGGAAATCCGGTATAGAGAAAAGGATCTCATTCTCTATGGCAGGAGAAACAGTCAAAGCTGCACTATGGGAGAGTGCAGCTCCATAAAAAAAGCATATTCAAAGATATTTAGCATAACACTAGTTTCGCTGAAACTCAGAAAGACAAACTTGTTGCTCTGCCTTTAAGTTTGTTCTAAAAAACTTTTCATCAAAGCCAGAATGACAGTTTTACTTTCCCAGCACTAGCAAAACAACGAAGCGCAGTCACTCAGACTGTTCCCTTGAGTTTTGCAGCAATGCCCTGTGTGCCCTTGAGGGAACTTACGCCAGTGTCTGATAGATTAAGCAGCAAAACTCAGCATACAGACCTGAAGCACTGCGTCTGCTGTCGGAACAGGTAGTGGCAGATCAGCAATCAAGCCATAAGAGGGAGCAGCAGGCTTGTCTGTAGTGTAGCTTGAAGAAACTGATTCAGCAACGGGCACAGCTGCTATTGTTCTATTTGTTTCTTGAGGAGGGTATGGAGGAAGAAATGGAAAGCCCTGAGGAGCATAAGGAGGCATTCCAGCTGGTTTGTTGAAAAGGCTAAAAAAAACCCAAACAAAAAACCACAAACATGAGCAACCAACCGCTTACAGTACATTTCTTATCATTTGAATTATAATCACTAGACCACATACAATATATAAAATTGAATTTTTAAATTACCATAAACTTTGCATTTTCTGTTCTCAGTTACTTACAATGTAGTAAGTCTACTTTATGTCTTATACTGCAACATAATATACAACTCCATGAAACTATATTCCTGTAGAGCAGCCAAATACGCATTCACACTCTTAATTACAAGAAAACTACTTCTCAAAAATTTATGAGTGCGTAAATTTAAATTGTTTCCATCTACAAGTCCTGAGAAATGCATCTGTGTCGTACATTAGTTCTTATTTATGGCATAAGAGCAAGTAACAGCTTGGGTAACACACACAAAATTACTTCTAAATAACATGAATTTTTTTTAAAAAACTCACAACTGCAGCAGCATGTAAATCCAGTATCATTGTCAGCCATGAGAACTATAGCTGCACTGAGAAAGCTGTAATGTCTCAGACTGCTTTGCATATTTAATACAAATATTTAAATTGCACAATTTCTGTTGCATAGTTGTGCAACAGAAGCTGCCTCTAAGCCAAGATGATTATGAACAGAATACAAAGAAACACAGCTGCTCAGATCATGATCTACAGCAAATTCAAGATTTCATCTGATAATATTGTTTTTCAAGAAAACAGAAGCACATAAAGTTACCTCAGCATGTTGATACAGTAACTCCAATGAAATCTAGCGTTTCTTCTCAAAACAATCCTGCCATCAAACATGCACATGAAATCGTGCAAAGGCAGGAAATCTATGTCTCCCATTACATTCACTACATTATTCATGTTCTTGCCCTTCTAATACTTGGCTTCATCCCTTTTTTAAAAATGATAAGTTAATACACATAGTCCCATTCATCATGTTTGTAGATACTTACTATGGAAACGATGTTGAGCTAGGAGCCAGAACTGGAGGATTCTTCCAAAACTCATCCAGTAAACTTTGAATAATTTTTCCAAGATCTGAGTGCATTGTAAACTGGTAAAAACAAAAACCAAAACCCAATACAGAAGAAAAATTATGCCTGGAATCCAACAGTTCCAAAATGTGCTGAACTTGACCATTTATTTTACCCACACAGCAGTGCTGGAAGCTATCAGCCAATGTAAACTGTGTATACATAAGCTCCTAATAAAGTGATAAAGCCTCCCAGAAGGGAACAGAAACTAAGTCTTTTGTATATTCCATTATCAATGGAGAATCAATCAAGTACCACATTTTTGATGAACAACCAAAAAAACCCACCTTAGTTACCAAGTTACACTTGGGAAAACAAAGGGGGGGGGAAGGGGGAATCAAGATTTGAGACAAAAAGCATTAATTGCATTCTGAAAAAGTCGTAACCTCCTCCCCCCTCCCCCAAAAACACTACCACATCCTTGTTGGCAGAAAAAAGGGAAAGGAGGAAAAAGAAAAAAGAAAAAAAAAAAAAGAGCAGCCTATTAAAATCCTGACTATTAGAGCTAAAACCTTGACATCTTTCTAATAGGATTAGGGTAGAAAGAACTACATTACAAAACAGTCTTAAAGCATCCTTCTCCCTTATTTGGAATACACTGTAGAGAAACAAGAACTGTGCTATTGGTACTAACAGGAAAAGCGATAGGAACTTTCTAAGCCATCATAACTCTTAAAATAGTTTTAGATATATGGAATACTCAACTAAGTAACGGTAACAGTAAAAGAATAAATAGTAGTATACTGAACACTACTGAATTTTTGTTTTCAGACCCCCAAAATACAGTGTGAGAGTGATTAGGATCTGTACTAGTCTTTTTTACCAGAAGTATTAGCAATATTGAGTGTGACACGTATTAAAATTGCTATTAACAGTAGACATATGTGAAGCTACAAATTATACATACACTACTTATTAATGGACCGGTCACATATACTCCCTGCTTGTCCACTAAATGGTGTCTCACAGGTGGGAAAACACTGATGACTGGTTTTTCCTGAGGAAACTGAGGTGGAAGCAAGCTGCAAATACAAGAATAATCATTACTACAGCTATTTCCCGTGATAAAGTTTGCATAAATTTGCAATTATGTCCATGAACCAAAAAACAGCTGTAACATAATGTTTTCTAATACAAATGTTATTACTACAAAGACAATGCACTCTAACCTGCAAGAATATCAGGCAAGTTACTAGGCTAAAGTAATAAAAAACTTGAGAATAGAATACCGTCAATATTTGCCAGAGCAAAAGCACCCCCCAAAGTACATACACAGGAAATGTTACAATAAATCACTTCAGTTATGATCCAGAAGCTTCACTGGGGTAACAGTTAAGACTTACAGCAGAGTTACAGCAGATTAGTAAATTACTAATTAAGTTTATTTTCAGTTGCAGGGGATTCAAAGTCATCAGAAACCCTCAAGCGTTTTCTCCTACTTACTTTCAACTAAAACCACACAGGTATCTTAGGAGGTGAGCACAGCAAAATATAGTTTTGCTTTCAGCTGAGCATCTGCATCTTGTACAGAGCTAGTTTCACTCAAATCACTACACCACTAATGTAAACCCAAGTTATAGTTCCTGAAATCAGTTATGAGATGGGAGCCATTTATATTCTATTACAACTTTTTTTGAGAACAATTTTAATTTTCAAGACGTGCATAGAGATATCTCACTCTACTTACATGTTAATATTAATTGTCAAGTTGTTTACAGTGAAGGGCAGTCGATATTCCACATCTTTCTGGATTTCTGCAATGCTGTCAAAGAACAAATTGTTAGCATCCAATTCATACTGGTCAATATAACAGCCTAAAGTCTAAAAAAAGGCATGACCTCAGGCCTTTGTATTTACTTTAGTTTTGAAAAGCCCTGTAAGAATAAAATTGAAAATGCTGGAATAAGTTAATATGCTCCAGAATGCTATATTGACTATTAAGGTTAAAGCAAAAAATAGTACATTCAACTTTCAAATCTCATACATGATCACAAGCAATGGAAATACAGTAGGAGAAATTGTGCTACTCGGTGATCCGACAACAATCTCAACTTACTCTTCTCCACTTACTGGCTTAATTTAAGACATCACATCAGTGATTTCTTAATATACTGAATTTTTTCCGATAAAACATTTACTTTGCCAAGGCATTATGCTTGGTTCACAACTAAGTACTGTTCTGCAACACTGCCTACAGATCAATATTTAGAACATATATTACCCTAGGCCTTCTTCCTTAATAGATTAGCTTACTATTTAATAGTAGTTTCTTCCACATGGACCAAGTTCTATGTACTTGCACAGATATTTTCAAAAATTATCTGGAGAAGAGCTACTTGCAAGAATGTAAAGCTCTGTAACCCAGTGACACTCAAGACACAGACCCCTCTGAAAGCACCAAGTGAAGAAACACATATCTTATGAAATCTGGTAAGACCAAATCCAAATTTGCTTATCCCGTAACAGGTAAGTCACTGAGAAAAACCTTCAAATCAGCTGCATCAACAGGAAGTTCATTTCAATACTCAAATCACTCTACAATTTTCATGCACAGCAAGGCTGTTTTGAAAGATGGCACCCCAAAGAATGAGGAGGAGGAGGAGGAGTAGAAGACTTAGCTCAGAAGCAGAATTTCTGGACAATACGAACATACCTAAGCTGGAACTGGGAGAGAAAGGAGGGCAGACAATTAGCTTCATCTTATGCCTCAATCGAAACAAACGTAAAAAGCAGACTGGTTCCTCGTCCATGTACTTTTCCTGCCTGCACCTAGTTAATAATATTATTCTCCCCCACCTCTCTAAGGCTCCCTTATAAACGGAAGGAACACAGCTCCAATTGAGAATCATGGCAGCTGGGTGTTCCCAGAAAGCCTCTTTGCACCCAACTTCAGAAATCCACTGCCAGGTACAGTCCATACAATTACTTCCTCAAATAACCCAAAACACATTACCTGGAAATGTGTGCTAAGCGTAGTGCTAGGAGTGTTTTGTGTCCCTTCAATGCATTATTTGCACACAGAATTTAAAACTCTAGTTTTCAGAGCTTTGGGAATAAATGGAGGAAGACATAAACCTAGCTATGCACTTTGCTTTCTGCAGCCTAACCTCATTCCTCTCATAGACAATTCAGTATCTGCTCTTTCATGCTGTTTGAAGAAGTGATCACACAACTTCAGCACAGGAGAATTCAAATCAGAGTTTAGGGCTCTACTGTGATACACCACACACCGAAATCATCACCTCCTCATTCTTAACTGAAGGAATCTCCCTGGAATCTCTCACCCACGTTCCTGCCCTGTAATCATCTGTCATGTGTTTTAATAGCCTGCTACAAAATCCTTCTGAGAAGGGTATATAATTATGCTCCACTCACGTGCCAATCTATAGGAAACTGGGGAGGAAGAGGAGAACAGGGAGAGAGAAACAAGAAATCCAGAATCTCACTGAGCTGTTCAAACTGTTATAACCTCCTTTAAGCAAAACCTTGAACCGATAAACTTAGTTGTCCCTTCCCCAAGTAGGAGTGCGTACACTGGAAAAAATGTTTTTTAATCACAAAAACTTGATTTCAAGCTCCTAAACTGTGAGGAATCCTGAAAAGGAAGACTAGCTACTTTAATGAAATTAAGATCACATACACCCAGCCTTTTATGACCTAAGACAACACAAACCAAACCTACCTACCTTAGGTAAGTACACTATGCCAAGAATTTTATTTTGAACATTTCAGTGAGGAGCAGCTGGGATACACATAAATGAATGACAAAATACCCTTATCAGACAAAACAAACACTAGGATGACATTTATTTAATCGTTGCTTAGGAAACAACGCTGTTGCAATGCTTAATGCATATTCCTATCCTATAGATCTGTACTGCTATGGAGTCCATAAGGAAGCACATCAGTCCCACCCAAAAAAACTGCTGCACTTTCGAAAACTTGCACAAGTACATATACCTTTTTAAAAGCACAGAATTTGAGGCACTGTTACTCAGATTTATTCAGTAATGAGTATCTCTTATGAAAACTGCACATTTTGCCAGAATTTCCTCCTTTACTTGCCTAATTTTTGGTTTTTTTTATACTTATCTTCAAGACAGATCAGGCAGACTAGTTTACATGGCTGTAAAGTTACATTGGAATAACTATCATCTTCCTGCCCCTCATCTCCATTCCATCCCTGGCTGCAGGGTCCATTCCCTAGCTGCCTGTGCTTGAATTGGTGCCTGCACAAACATGTAGTAAACCAGTTCAGCAAGCTTACTTTGACAAAAACTGATCACCTTTTTTGAGGACTTAACTTGGGGTTAGCTCATCTCCCTGGTAGAGAAAAATGAGTAGAGATAAAAGGTTAAGTGAGGCCAGTCCAACAAAAACTTCTAGTTAGGTCAGCTGCTGCCTACCCACAGAGACAGCTCCTTAGAAAAGTGAACTGTCTTTCAAAAATATTTGTGAAACTGACTCTGAACAGATTTAAGTTTAAGCAAGCAACCATACTCAGCAATACTGCCATGTTTCCTGTGTGATAATTCAAAATATTAGGATAGTGAATGATCTGCAATTATTAAACTCGTAAATACAGTAAGTATCTCTTCCACTCCTGGTCTTAGTCCGACATAACAGAAAACATTCTCCTTCCTTTTTCTGGATCATTTTGGAGGCATCTGTCATTCCACTTCAACACATCCTAGGAAGCATGATGAATGCTTACATATTCACTGAAAACATAATTTGAAATATACGAAGTGTGGATCTCCTTTTAAAATATGAACACTTTAAAAATACTAAAATGCAGGCAAAACTGATCAGCATACTGACAAGCTGGAGTATCTCAGGATAAAGGAAAGTGTTTTGCGGTAAAAAGTGTGGGTTTTGAACAGGAAAAACCCCCCTGCCTCTGGTGAGCATCTAAATAAAACAAGTCACTACGGAACAGTCCGCTATTAGCAAGTGAGCGCTGTACCTCAGAGAAACGGTTTGTAGAGCCAGCAGGGCTGCTATGCCACTGCTGACAAGACCACTGAGGCGCACAGCTCCCTCATACCGTATGTTTTAGTCTTAACTTTTAAAGAACTACGCTCCTACAACCAGTTTCCAGAAAGAGGGCTTTATTCCAACACATGCAATCTGTACCTCTTTGTAGACTTTAGAACCCATTAAATAATTTAGCTGACTTCGCGGTCAAGCGGCCGGTGGAACTGGGCAC